AGAGACACTCTGATTGAAGCAAACAAATCTAGAAATGAAAATCTGGGATCTGAGTAGGAAAGAGGACATTCAGAGTCTGTCTTTCTGGGTCTGCCATTACTTCAACATACCTTCTAGCTCCACCCACTTTCCTATGAATAATTCATTAGTCCATCTCTGCTGATTTCATGTCCTAGCTATTGTAAATAGGGCAGCAATGATTACGGATATGCAAGGGTCTCTGAAGTAGGATATAGACCCTTTTGGGTACACGCCCAGGGGTGGCATAATTGGTCACGTGGTAGTTCTTTCGGCTTTGTGAGAAATGTCCACACTCATTTTCATAGTGGCGGCACTATGAATTTACAAAATTTACACATCCAACAGCTGGGAAAGGGCTCTCCCTTCTCCCACAAACTCACCAGCATTTGTTAAAACACCTTTCAACACCTCTGCATGGCTAGGAAGATTCTTTCATATCTTCTGCTCAGCTTGAGAACTTGAACTTTAAAGATTTTATTTACTTTAAATTTATTACTATTATTATTATTATTATTAGAAACCAAGTGTTCTCCTAGCCTACCTTCAGTACCTCAGGGCCAGAAGTCACATCATCATCAGCTGTCAAATTTGACACCTGTACCCTTTAAAAGGTCCCCGCCATCAGAGACCAATCTCTTTTTTTTTTTTTTTTTTTTTTTTTTTTTTTTTTTTTTTTGGTTTTTCGAGACAGGGTTTCTCTGTGTAGCTTTGCGCCTTTCCTGGAACTCGCTTTGGAGACCAGGCTGGCCTCGAACTCACAGAGATCCGCCTGGCTCTGCCTCCCGAGTGCTGGGATTAAAGGCGTGCGCCACCACCGCCCGGCTTGAGACCAATCTCTTACTCTGTCTCTCCCTGTCTCTTGCTGTTTGTCTGTCTCTCTCTTGTCCCCTGCTCAGAGTGGGCCTTTTGCTCCCCGCTCCCCCAACAAACCTCTTGTGTGAGATCTGCTTCATGGTATGTGGCATTCCTTGGCTCTGATCCACCAAGGTACTCTGCTGCATAAACCCTAACATTGGTGCCTTGGGACTCGGGAGGATATCCTGGTGCCTTCATGCTCCCCACGAGGAGGTCTAAGTCATACGGGGACCCAATCCCTTATCCCCAGTCTATCTTCAATAGATTCACCTTCTGGCTCACCAATTGCTGGGCACCCCTTCCAACAGCTCTAACTGGTAAGTTTTTCCTTTGGTCTGCGTAAATGCTTCCCTGAATCCGAGAAAGAGTGAGAGCTGAGTGTCGGGCGCCCTCTGGTATTCTTGGAGGCGGTCTTTAAGGCTATGATGGACCCCTTCTGATCATTTCCCTTGGGTCTTTGAGCTCTGTTTTCACCTTCTGGCTTCATTCTAAAGTCCTGGTGCCAGGCACCGTGTCTCCTCGAGCTTTTTAGCTCTGACCCCCATCTGGTGAGGGGACAACCCACTGAACAGCTTGTGCCTTCCTCGTTTGGTCCCTCTGAGTCCTTGGGATGCCTTGGACTTCAGACCTTGGACCTCCCCCTCTTCCTCACCTAAGGGAACTGTGTTACCCATACCTCCGGGCTCCCCTTTGGAGAACCTCTAACCCCCTCACCTAGCACCCTACTTACCTGCCTTTGCAGTCGAATCCGGCCTCAATACCCCTTAGATAATCGATCAAAATGGCCGCCCAGCAGCACCCTAGATTCCAATATTATTAAGGACTTCTACAGCTAATGCAAGTGATTGGAGAAAGTCCCTAGTTCTTTGTTCTCTGCTCCAAGCCCTGTGTGTTTTCACGCTCTCCCGCCAACACTCAGTAAACATCCAGTCTTTAAGTTGCAGTGGATGGATCTGTAAATTTGTTGCAAATAGAAGCCAGAGCCGGACCTAGCAGAAGAAACCGGACCTAGCAGAAACCGGAAAAGCCAAGGACCAGGCCCCCTGCAGCTTCTGCTCTGGAGTCCTAGTCTTCAGCGGCGCCTTCCCTCTGGCCTGCTGCGCCCTCCACCTGGGTACTTATGTACTTCTCAGTTCCTCCTTGTCCCTTAGCCGGTCCTCGCCTTGCCCTGTGCCATAAATGTCTCTCTGGCTCCTGGAGCCAACTTCTTGGTCCTTAGGGCAGCTTTCTCTCTCTGCTCTGGGCTCTGGCCTTCTGTACCCATATGGGTCTCTCTACTAAAGACTTGCAGGGCTCCCTTTTCCACTGCACCCTCCTGGCTGTCTCTGGCTCCAGCCTGCAGCCTTCAGCTCCCTCTTAAAGCTTATAGGAGCACAGTGTTCTGCTTTGTGATCCTCTCTCTCTCTTCCTCCACGGACTCAGATTTTTATTACCGCAGCCTGGTCTCAGTACAGATCAGTGGCCAAAAAACTGGCAAACTTGATTTCCAAATTTTCGCAAATCACCAACAATTGCTACTGCCCAGACAAATGATCCCCAAATATCTCGTACCTTTAAATTGCGCTGCACTACACTTTCTCTACTTTCCGCTCTTAAAAATCTTTTATCTCTATGAATTCTCTGTGTTCTGCTCAAAAAAAAAAAAATCTCTTAAGATTATGCTGTAAACTCTATTTTAGGATTTGTAAATCCTTTGGGTATGGTTTAAAATCTATAAAACCTGTAACAAAATTAGGCTTTAAACTTATAACAAAAGCCTTATACTAAAAACAACAACAACAACAACAACAATAATAATAATAATAATAATAATAATAGGCTGAAGAGATGGCTCAGAGGCTAAGAGCACCGGCTGCTCTTCCAGAGGTCCTGAGTTCAATTCCCAGCACCCACAGGGTGGCTCACAACCATCTGTAATGAGATCTGGTGCCCTCTTCTGGCATGCAGGTGTACATGCAGGCAGAACACTGTATACATAATAAATAAATAAATCTTTTTTTTAAAGGCCCTTTGCCTATATATTACAAAAAATTTTTTTTTTTAAATTTTGATCCTAGAAGAGCTTAAACTCAAAACAGGGATGGAATGTAAAGTCCTAGTCTTATGAAAACTACTAACTTGTAAACTCTTAAGGATAATTAAGTCATAAAAATTAATGGTCAGTCATCTTATATATGATCAAATTCTTTAATGTATCCAGAATTATACTTGTAGTCATGTTAAATACTAATGTAGTTTAATTACAGGAATAAGCTTTATTTAGCCTCCAAAACAAGTAATTAGAAACAAGCAAAGTTTGTCTAGATAGACTTAATAGATAGTGGTCCTCAAACTCTTCAGAAATCTGCTGAATATGGCATTTAAAATGTTTAATAAAAAAAGCTTCTCATAGCAGGGAAGTGGTGACACATACCTTCAATCCCGGCACTCAGGAGGCAGAGGCAGGAGGATCTCTGTGAGTTCAAGGCCAGCCTGGTCTACAGAGCGAGTTGCAGGGCAGGGCAACACAGAGAAACTCTGTCTCAAAAAACAAAACAAAAACCAAAAACAAAGCAAAACAAAAAAAGCCTTTTGTGATAGAGAGAAATGCTAGTTTCTGGCAGCACCCCTAAGATCTCCTCCAAGGAAGATGATGGGGCACAGAACTCTACCTGGAGCTTGCTTTAAATGTGGCAAAGCCAGCCACAGGGTAAAAAACTGTCCTTTACCTGCCACCAGGACCATGTCCAAACCGTGGACAAGCAGGACACTAGGAAGTTGATTGCCCCCCCTTTGTCTATAAGGTAGGCCAGTCCTCCCAAATTCCTACTCCACAGAAAAGTCTGCCAGATCTTCTGGACCTGGCAGCTGAAAACTGATCCTGCCCTGGGACCTCTGCCCCCAAAGACCACAAAGGGTAGGATGACTGTCCAGGTAAGTCTCTGTCATTTTTAATAGATTCAGGAGCTGCCGTCTGTACTTCCTGCTTACTCGGGTGAAATGTATTCTTCTCAGATCTCTGGTGATGTTGATGACTAGGCTTTGTCAGTCAACAGCAGCAACCAAGGCTTCAGCTGCCTCCTCAGTTCTCTTCACGTGTAAAAATCAAGCCTCAGGCCTCACTTTCCTAGAGCTATGTCTACATCTAGACACAATTGACCTTCCTACTAGACTCCGAAAAGACATAAACTCACAAAACAGATTTCAATGTAACTTTTTACTATTCTGTTATTTAAAGGAACTTGCTTTACAATGACTGTTCTCAGTAATCAGCCACCTGTGTCTCGTGATCGGATAGAAAATGATTGGATAGAAAAAAGGTGTAAAGTTCATGTAAGGTCTGAGGATATGAAAACTTAAGTTGTGAGAATCTAAGATCTAAGAAAGTGTTTTGCAAGTTATAAAGGTCTAAGGATGCAAAAGCTTAAGTTGTGATAAGAAAGTGACTTAAAGTATGTGAAAATGTTTCAGATTTCTTTCCTTCTCTGTGTTACTGTTCTGTTAAGACTTCAAAAGTTCAGAAGTTTACCAATCAACAGAGTTCTGATAAGCTATTGATCTAGCTCTGGTAATCATTGACTACTGTTACAGTCGCAAGCTCAAGATTTTAAATTCCCTTTGGTTGTCTACTAAGTATAGACTTAAAAGTGCTTCTCATTGTATGAAACACATCTTGTCTAATCTATATACACCAGTCTTCTGGACAGAGGAAAGAATAGTCATGATTTTAACTCAGAATAATTGTGGGTCCCCAAGCTTCTACTATGACTCAAAGGCTTGAGTCTAGAATGTGGATTTCAGTACAGACTATAGTCAGTGGTAATGCTAACATGTCTAAAACCTATCTCTTTTTGTAAACTTAAATTCTTGTAAGCTTCAGGGTATCAGCTTGAATCCACCTCTCATAGGTCAAATGGACTCCAGATGAGTACTCCTGGCAATCAACATCCTGTTTCCCCACCTGCCTATTCTGCTTATTCCTGAGGGTGGGATCTCCTCCACCCTTCCCTGGCCTTGGGATTCCCCTGCCCAAGCTACAAGGTCCAGGAGCCTAAAAGTTTCAAGTGTACATCCTGGATAAAAAAATTAATTTTTTAATTAATTAAAATAAAAAATTCCCGCCTCTTTTGGGTTTTGGTTCCAAGATGACCAAAAGAAGAAGAAACAACGGTCGGGCCGAAAAGTGCCGCGGCCGTGTGCAGCCAATTGGCTGCTCAAACTGCACCCGGTGCGTGCCCAAAGACAAAGCCATTAAGAAGTTCGTCATTCGGAACACTGTAGAGGCCGCTGCTGTCGGGGACACATCCAAAGCAAGTGTCTTCGACGCCTATGTGCTTCCCAAACTCTCTGTGAAGCTGCATTGCTGCGTGAGCTGTGCTATTCATAGCAAGGTAGTCAGGAATCGATCTCGTGAAGCCCGCAAGGACCGAACACCCCCACCACGATTTAGACCTGCTGGTGCCGCACCGCGACCTCCACCAAAGCCCATGTAAAGAGATGGTTTCATAAAGACAAGAAAAAACACCTTGGAAAGATAAAATGGGACTTATACTTTAAAAAAAAAAATCCCCTAAACTCCTTAACTTTACCCTCTGTCCCTAGTATATATCTATTCTAGCAACCTGCCAATCTACAGGTGTTCCCTCAAAATCTGCATCCCAGATGGCTTCACAGTGGCTAGCCCCAGGTAGTCCAGCCTCATGGACACTGCCTGTACTTCCCTAGCCCAAGATGATCCTGCAGATCCCAGACAGCGGGGAAAATAGCCTGCTCTTCTAGGACTTGGCCAACACCTCAGCTTTCTTGAGTCCCCCAAAATGTCGACACCCCTAGACAATGGAGCAGTCTAAAGAGCATGGTGCACCTTCCTATTTCCTCACCTTTTATAATAAACAAAAGGAGGAATGTTAGAAACCAGGTGTTCTCCCAGCCTGCCTCCAGCCACTCAGGACCAGCAGCCTTGTGATCATTAGCCACCAAATGCAACACTTTAAAAGGTCCCCGCTGTCACAGACCACCCCCCCATCTCTCTGTGTGTCTGTGTCTGTGTGTCTCTCTGTGTGTGTGTGTCTCCCTGTCTCTTGCTGTCTGTCTCTCTGTCTCCCTCTCTCTCCTCCCTGCTCTGAGATGGCCTTTCAGTCCCTGCCCCCAATAAATCTCTTGTATGATATCTGTTGCGTGGCGTGATCTCTGTGGCACTCCTCGGCTCAGATCTGCCAAAGTACTCTGCTGCATAAACCTTAGCAATTATTACTTATTGTATGCATTATATGTGTTTTGCCTGCATGCATGTTTGCACACCTTGCCAGAATAGGGGGAGTGGAACCCCTGGAACTGGAATTGCAGATGCATGTGAGCTGCCTAGATCCTCTAGAAAAGCGTAAATAAGTAAATAGTAATAAAACAGCAATAAAGATGTTAAAGGGTAGCAGTAGTATAAATGAAAAAATGAATCTTAATTCTTTTTTCATATTTGATTTTTTTTATCCTTATCCAAGTTGCCCTAAAAGACTTACTATTAACATGTTTAGAAGTAATAACTCATGATATATAATATATAACAAGTGTTATTAGTAAAAGTAGTTTTCCTCCATATTGAAAACGAAAATGAAGTGTTTTATTTGGTTGGTTTCTGTTTTTTTTGAGACAGGGTTTCTCTGCTTAGCCCTGGCTGTCCTGGAACTTGCTCTGTAGACCAGGCTGGCTGTAAACAGATATTTCCTGTCCCAACTGCCTGGTCCAAATTAACAACTCAGAGGCTGAATATGCATTATAAATGCTCAGCCAATAGCTCAGGCTTATTACTAACTAACTCTCACATTTTAAGTTAACACATATCCCTTATTTACCCTCTGCTATGTGGTGGTATCTTTATTAGCATGGCATGTTCATCTCCTGCTCCCTCTGCATCTGACTGGTGATTTTCCTGACCCTGCCCTCCTTCTTCCCATCATTCTCAGTTTGGCTTTCCTGCCTAACTTCCTGCCCGGCTACCATCCTGTCAACTTTTTATTAACCAATGAGAGTAATACATATTCATAGTGTAGAAAAGGATTGTTCCACAGAATTTCCCCCTTTTTGTCTAGTTAAAAAGGAAGGTTTAAACCTTAATATAGTAAAACTATATACAACAAAACCAGTTATTAAATAAGAATTACAGTAACAATATCCAATCCATTTGCATTTGGAAAAATTACAGAAAATACTTAATTATCTTGTCTAAAGTTTTGTATCTAATTTACTTTCTATTATAACTAAGAAAAACTGTAATTATGACCAGTTAGTTCTCTTCTTCCACCTTGTGGGTCCTGTACTCGAGAGAACAGAAAACAAAAAACAAAAAAAAAAAAACACTGAGATGGCCGTTCCATGATTAAGGGAAGGTTTTTATTATAAGAAAGACAAAACATCCAGAGGCTTCTGGAAGAGTCCAGAGCAGAGAGAAGCAGTCTGGGCATGGCCTGGGCTAGGGGAGCAGAGAAGATAGAGGGACAGGGGCATCTGAGGTGAGAAGGGCCAGGATGCTAGTGTGGGGCTTTGAAATGTATAATGGGTACTTGTGACTAGGGACTGAAGGAGCCTGAGGTCAGCATGGATTTTGATATGCTGATAGCTGCTACAGGTATATGTCAATGAAGAGCCCTATGTCTCTCTGCCAGAAGCAAGGGAAATGACTCCTTTTGGAAGGAACCTGTTTCATAAGTTCCTGAGGAATATTGACTTTAATCCAACCATCAGAAATCCTTCTTGGTTTCTGAAGTCCAGTTTGAATTGAGCCTAGACTCAATATTGGGCCAAGTAAGTAGGCCTGCCCCTTTGGAGGAAATGGAGTACCCTTTGGACCTATCAGGTCTCAGGAATTAGACTCACACTGAGAGACTCTAGGCCTTTGGGCTGAAGATGGATGCCCCAATGTTGTGGAGGAACTTTGGATGACTGTCCAGCCAGACAGCTGTCTCTGTCATTCTAGATTTTTGGAAGTTGCTTACAATGCTCTTCCTCTTTACTTAGACAATATTATGTCCCTCTGAGGTCTTTGATGTAGTTGAAGACTAGATAGTTATAATTATAATTTTCCTTGGTTATGATAAAAGGTAAGTTATATGTGAAACCTTAAACTTACAAATATAGGATAAATAGGATATTCTCTTTAATTTTGCCAAATACAAATAGACTAGATATTATAACTGTAATGTTTGCTTGATAACTGTTTTGTTATATATAATTTTACTATGTTAAAGTTAAAACCTTCCTTTTTGATTAGACAGAAAAGGGGAAGTGCTGTGGAATGTCGTTCTGTATGCTGTGAATGTGTGTTGCTCTGATTTGGTTGATAAATAAAATGCTGATTGGCCGGTAGTCAGGCAGAAAGTATAGGCAGGATAAGCAGACAAGGGGAATTCTGGGAAGAGGAAGGCTGAGTCAGGAGACGCCAGTGAGCCACCCAAGGAGCAACATGTAATGGGACACAGGTAAAGTCACAGAACATATGGTGATACATAGATTAATAGTTATGGGCTAATTTAAAATATAAGGGATAGCTAGCCAAAGGCTTGAGTCATGGCCATGTAGTTATAATTAATATAAGCCTCTGTGTGTTTACTTGGGGGACACGAGTAGGAAAGATTTGTTCCTACCACCGGCCAGCCGGGACGCAGGAAAACTTCCAGCTGCAAATGACCCACTGATTCCTCTCACTGGCGTTTTAGTGTTCTTTATAGGGAAAAAGAACTACACAAACAAATGGATTTGCTTCCCAAGGTTACACAGTCCTGCCAGGGGAAAATTCAGGTTTAAGTGGAATGTCCGAAGATGGGATCATTTGGCCACTAGGGGGCAGCATACAGGCATGATTTCTCAAAATTTAAAAGCAAGGAAAAAAGAAGGCTGCTTCTTATTTGGAAAAACAAAAAGTCAAAAACAAACAAACAAACAAACAAAAAACCACATTGAAAGTGCAATGTGCCAAATATGTTAGGATTATCTTAACCCTAACCTTTTGCTTCCAAATTTACTAATAGTTTAGCCTTTTAGCTTTTTGAACACACATTACATTTTTCTCTCATTTCTATTAGTCATATTTTTGTTTCTTTCTCTCCCTTTCTTTCTCCCTTTCTTTCTTTCTTTCTTTCTTTCTTTCTTTCTTTCTTTCTTTCTTCCTTCCTTCCTTCCTTCCTTCTTTCTTTCTCTTCTTCTTCTTCTTCTTCTTCTTCTTCTTCTTCTTCTCTCTCTCTCTCTCTCTCTCTCTCTCTCTCTCTCTCTCTCTCTCTCTCTCTCTCTCTCTCTCCCTCCCTCTCTCTCTCTCTCTCTCTGGCAGGATCTTACTATGTAGCCTTGGCTGGCCTAATTATGAAGACCAGACAGGCCTCAAACTCATGGAGATCCACTCGCTCTCCCTCCCAAGTGCTAGGATTAAAGGTGTTCCTCACCACACTTGGTAGCCTCACTTTTAGGTGGATGATAGTTTACAGAGGCGCTGATCATTTCCTAAGTGGACAAAATAACTGTCCCTATTGGCCATTCTTTACTGTAGACACGGTCCCATCGTTCTCTACCTGTGACCTTGTCAGAATCTACTTACTTTTGTAGCCTCCAAAGCCTACGTTAATTAGCATTCTGTTCGTGATAGCATGTGGAGCAATGGCCTAACCCATCCTTTCTTCCAGGCCGTGTGTGATCCTGGCTTGTCTGATTCCTCAGCTGAGCTGGCGGCCTCTTCTCTCCTCTGGAAGCATGGGACGTCTGTCCTTCTCTCAGGGCGTATCCTCGCTTCGCTCTTTATCTGGGAGGCCTTGAGAGAGTCGTTCTCATGCTCCAGCCCTCATCTCAAGAACCAGTTTCTGCAAGGCCGTACAACATGCCACCTTCTGGTGAAAAGTCTGAATTCCTCAGTGAATTTTTTTTTTATTTATGTGCAGACTAAATAAATAACACCTTCCTTTTTCTCTTTTATTAGTTTTCATAGTCTATAAATTCTGACTACTTTATTGGTTTCCATGAGCCACAGACTGGATAGCACTTTGTGGTACACGTGTTCGTGTGATACAGCCAAGGATGAGACGAAAGGCAAATGTGTTGCCTGTTTTGGTAATACGTCAAATACGTCATCTGTACTTTAGAGATTTACTTTTATTATTTTAAATTATTTGTATGAGTGTGGGGGTGCGTGCATGTAGGCACAGGTGCCCTCGGAAGCTAGAGGCATCAGATCCCCCTGAAGCTGGAGTTACAGGTGGCTGTGAGCTGCCCAGCACAGGTGCTGGACCCAAACTCAGGTTCTTTGGAAGAACGTATGCTCTGAACCACGGAGCTCTCTCTCTCTCTCTCTCTCTCCAACCCCTGAATAGTCTTTAATATCACATTGGATTTGTTGTTTCATCAGATCATAAAATACAACTTGCCTCAATATGTGTGTGTGTGTGTGTGTGTGTGTGTGTGTTCACGTTCGTGTGCGCATGCGCGTGCACAAGTCAGGGAAGGACACTCTTTTTAC